CTGGGCGAAACTGTACAGTTTGTGTACAATACATGCAAGTGAGTATATAACAACAGAAAAACGTGTCCCGCCTATTCAGTCCATAAATCAACTTTATATGCTAAGAGTAGTAAGAATTGCTTCCTTCTTTGAAAAAATCCTTTTGATAACAAGAACGTTGCGAAAACCATCGAAAAGAAATGTCACTATGTAAGTTAGGAGGTAACAAAAGGATTTTGTCCTGGTTACCGATGTCGCGAAGAAAAGCAAGGTATATTGACAGACCTTTCAGGCAGTGTTGCAGCACCTAAACCTTGGAACATGTTAATTCTTTCCGCTAGACTTCATGGGATTTCATTAGTTGAAGAGCCACACCAATCGAAAGGAAAACGCGTCACCGCGCCTACAGATCCAAACGTCAACGAAACTGATGTCTCTAACAAAAACGTCAGACTCCAGCAGAAAGAGAATAAGGAGAAAAAACTAATACGATTTTTGCCTGTCTATTTACCTAGAAATTTCTAGAATAAATTACTCCATTTGAGAATATAATTTAAAAAACCATACAAAAACGGTAATAATTAAAAGTTCAGACTCATATGGCAATGTTTGATACTTTTATTGTTATTCAGTTAACATTTGACACCAAGCCTAAGTTCATTCTCTCATGCTGACAATCAATGAATCGAATCCACGATAAAATTGTAAATTTACAACGTCTATACTTGTAAACTATATACACTCAATAGAAAGGGAAATACTGGTTCTCCTAAGTGCAAGCTGAATTTTATTTTAATGCAAGACACTGATTACTTGTTGGACACTACTGGAAATATCTTTTCCGAAAACTCACTTCATTCCTTTGTCAATGCTAACTGCCTGCATGCGTCTATAATAAAAATTGCTTGAAATTAAAAATAATAAAAATTGCTTGATAATAGAGTGAATAAGATAGATATTAAGCACGGGACCTGCTTCAGTGTGGACCAGCGGATAAAACTAAGACTCGACGACTCTTTAACGGCTGCATCTGCATTTGGGGAAACATTCGTGAAAGGGCTTTTCTGTAATCTGACATTCTAAAACAATAAACTAGAAAATTCATAAAGGAATTGCTATAGTGGAGAAGCTTAATAACATATAGTAAAATTATCAGAGTTTTGTTTAAACGTCGACACGAGATGCAGAAATTTAAAACAGCTGCTAAAACTTGAAAAGGCAACCATGACAGAACAAATATTGTGGTTATCAATAGCAGCGTCTTATTTAAGTGAACATTCTTTCTTGCTTGAGTTTCATTGGGAATTCTAGAAGATTGCTTCCTCCAAATGATACAGTAGGAAATGCAAGTTATCAACAAAGGTGTTGACAAGCTAATAATTATCACAGAACTGGCCTGAATATGGGTTATAAAGGGGAAAACGGGAACGAAAGTCACAATAAGGGATAAGATCCATGGGGTTGCTATGGAAATCGCATAGCTGCGT